TGAAACACTGGTAGTTCGGTCCGAGGTTCGAATCCCGCGAACGGGCTGGCTGCATGGGCGTTTTCGTGGTTTTCCCCATATGTAACGCGTATACGAGCCAGTTTCCCTTAGAAAGTCCTCCACGAAGGCATCCCTCCTCTTAGGCAGATAGCCCTCGAGGCTTTGTCATAATCACACACACACACACTTCCTATTTCCAGCATGCCTACGTGGTGGAACGGTTACCACGGCGCGTAATCGAGAGGTCTAGGTTCAAGTTTCGGCAAGGGCATTGCTCATTTTTCACGTCTCTTGCTTCCAAATAACCTAATAAAGTCATCTTTTTACATATAAGTTTATACAATAGACTACAAATAGTTTATAAATTGATTTTCAATCAATAAGCGCTTCTCGGATTAATCAAATATTTATTACTTCCTTGTACGAAGTAAAAAGGAAGTATTGTAATCGCGAAAAGTTTCAGGCAGCATATTTCAACGAAAATATCCATTTTGACCGCTATCGAATGCAATTTAGCGATGTTTTTGCGTAACATCTGTACATAAGGGCAAAATAAAACACTCTTTTTGCTCCAAAAAAGTTATAAAACTGCTTTAAAATGAATTCTGAAGAGAAATTTTTCGTGGCGTCTGTACGAACATATGTACGTACGTACATATGTACGTATCTCGCATAACTCAAAAACGAATAGCCTCAGAACGTTGAAATTTTGTATATAGGACTGCTTTAACATGCAGATGTGCACCTCGTATTTTGGTCGCAATCGGCAGCACCAACGTATATAAATATATTTATATATATATATACGTTTGTGCTGCCGATTGCGGCAATAGCTCATCACTATTTATTTTCGTTTTATTTTGATTTTAATTTTGATTTTAGTCTAGATTTAGGAAGTTTAGGTATTGTTTAACATCTTTTAACACCTTAATGTGTCTTCTGTGCGGACGCGTCGGGAATTGGAACAGAGAATTGAGACTATTAAAATTTCCAAGACACTTTGTCTAAATTTAAAAAATTTTTAGCGAAAAAGTTTCAATTGTCTGTTTCGGCGAACGCGTAATGGGGTTAGCTTGATTCGACTTCAAATAATTGAAATTTCCCTTGAAAAGCCAGTTTTTGGAAGTCGAATTGGGCTAATTTACCATTTTCCGCTTACTTTTTATCTGTTTCTTTCTGTTTTTTTTTATGTTTTACATGTCTAATGGTTTGATTTTCATATGTATTAATTTTTTTTAAAACGTGTTGAACCTTTTGGAGCAGCAGCTCTTGGTAACTTTTAGGCAAGCTTACTACAAATTTTTATATTTTATATATATATATATATATCCACTCTGTTACCCGGCTCAGTGATCTCAGTTTCTTTACTCTTATATTTTGTAAATTGTACATTTTTTTCTTTAAAAATGATTGAATTATGTTGTTCTTATCTTCCGCTTAAGGTTTTTATTTAGTAAATCTACAAGTATTTAGTAAATCTACAAGTTTACCTTTAGTAAATCTACAAGCAGTATTTGTACAATTATCAACAATTTAAAAGCTGTTTAAGTGCGTTTAAGCCTAATTTTTAAATAACATGGCGGACATGTTTGTTTACATTTGAAACAGTAGAATAGTAGATTTGTTGCCAATCTAGAGAGACTGAGCTTCGCAACAACAAAGATGACGCCTTCATTTATTATTGCGAATGAAAATCATGCTTAATCCTTTTGAGAATGTTTTTCGAGGAAATAAGTGTTTAAGATTGACTTCGTAATTTTAATACAGATATTTTGAGTTTTTATGTATTTTTGCCTTGTCGGGAAGTGAGAACTGAATTAATTGAATGAGAAATACTGAATCGCCTGTGAAAAACTGTTTCTTTTTTGTTTTGTTAGCTTAATTTCTTTTATACATCGTTCTAGATTTATTATAGTATTTGAATAGAACATGTGGCAACGATTAGATATTTCTATTCTTTAAATGATATAAATTTTGTGCATTATGAGTTATAATATGAACGAAATATAACACTGTTATGTGAATAGCGCCAGAGTGTCGCTATGGTAAACAAATACTAGAGTGAATTTTAAACAGTGCATTTATTCTATTGTGGTTTATGCGCTATCGACGAAGTAGATTTAGTTCAATCCAATAAGTTTAAATGAAATGCAAGAAAAAAGTGCTTATAATTTAATATTCCTTACAAGGAAGTCATGTGGTGTACACATCAGATTTTTTATCTGACCTAAGGTGTGTTGCAGCTTCCCTCACTGCACAGAAAAGACGTACTACACTTTTGCTCCGTTTGAGTTGTGATGCCGTGTTCGGTAGGTTCTCCTCTTTGGTCTCGATACTAGCAGAGCAGCGAAGCATGTCTACCTTCACAGGTGACAGTTATTGGCTAAATCAGTCCAGCACTAGACCATTCTGCACAATTGTAAAACTGTTTTAAAATGAATTCTGAAGAAAACTCAAGAACGAGTAGCCTCAGAACGTTGAAATTTTGTATATAGGACTGCTATAAGATGTAGATGTGCACCTCGTATTTTGGTTGCAATCGGCCGCACCAAACGTATATAATATATATATATATATATATATTTATATATATATCCACTGTGTTAACCGGCTCAGTAATCTTAGTTTCTTTACTCTTACATGTTTGTAAGTTGTGCATTTTTTTGATTTAAAAATTATTGAATTATGTTGTTCTTATCTTCCGGTTAACGTTTTTATACTTTTAGGAAATCTGCAAGCAATATTTGTAAAATTATCAACAATATAAAAGCTATTGAAGTGAGGTTAAGCCTAATTTTAAATAACATGGCGGACATGTTTGTTTACATTTAAAACAGCAGAATAGTAGATTTGTTGAACCATCCCATATCCGTGTCTTGTAAAATATGCCGCCCAATGCCTGCCGGAAATCTACAGCCTCAGGCCCGTTGTAGCAGCACAGGTTGCACCGGCCTTAGTGCCGGCCCCGGCTAATATAGCCATCAACGAATCCTAAATACCATCCCCCAGTAACAGTTGCTTCGAGTTATTCCATATATATGACGCCGCCCAAACGATTTAATGGTTAGCGTCGCTGACTGCCGTGCCGAAGGGGCCAGGTTGGAATCCCGGAGAAGGCATGGATGTTTGTAAATGTATAGTGCGCGTGCAGCATAGGGGCGCTCTATATATGCACTTTAAATATCCGAAGTCGAGTGAGTGTAGGTGAAAAGCGGTGGGAGTCCCTTGGACCCTGTCCCCTTGGTGTGCTCCTTGTGGGCGGAACTGGACTAAATCGCACTGCCACCTGTAAGGTGCTCAAGGCTGTTGCCAATGGCAGGCGTATTTTGCGCTCCTTGCCACGAGGAATTTCGTGGGCTTGGGCTGACTATTCATCAGACAAGTGAGCATTAGTCAACAACAACAACAAATACCATCCTCCAGTAACAATTGTTTGGAGTTACCATATATAAGTGATGATTCCTGATCCAGACGAAACAAGATCTAACGGTGGCGACAACACAGTTGAGTTGGGCAAAAGCACTCTTTCATGGAATCAGATTAGAACCGTTCATTCACTGAACCGAAATCTGTGCATTTTTACAACACATCCTCACTAATAATAAGATATGGAACAGTTTGTGGATCAACAGCGATGTGCGAGAATCAAGCAAAATGTGGACAGAATCGAGCGAGGAGTAGGATGGGTAGAATCCAATCAACTGGAGCCACTCAATTCTTTGAACTGATTTCTTTCAGTAGTTTTGGGATTCATTGGAAACTCCTTTCTGCCTAGAATTAACATAAAATTCTGGTATAGATAATGTCCAAATGATAAAAATTTAACTCAGTTTTTATATGGAAGGAGAAACATTCCTTTTTTCTCCTAAACGGGGAGTCGACCTTTCCTGGCACGTCTTTTGGAGGGTGAATTCTAAAACAGCTATCGTTTCGTTTTGTTGGATCATCGTACGCTCATTCGGTAAAGTAAACTCTATCACTACTAACCAGTGGTCGTTTATCCCTTCCATATGAAGTAGTTTAATTGGAGGTCTATTTTATTACATTTTCATATAGAGTCATATGTACTTGCACAGCAGTCGGAACAAATTGAGCTTTAATGCTTGAATGAATGAGTATCACATTTTAAACCAATACTTAATTTAACATATATTTCACGACTATTTTAAAAGGACTTGGCTTTGGTTTCCCTCTAAAGCACATATTTTAAACATAGAGAAGTACACGAACCTTTCCCTAGAACAGCCATTTCCAACCATTGGTACGCAAAAGGTGGTATGATAGTAGGTGAAAACAAAGTGTTAAACTATGAAGTTAAAAAAATCTCGTGAAGAAAACAGAACAATTGATAGAACTGAAAATTTCAAAAATAATACACGTGTTAACTTTTGGCTGAACCGAAAGAAAGAATTGAAAGGCATTGCGAATATTTTTTATTGCCTTTTTGTATAACCTATTTGTGTGAATAAGGATTTTCTTCCATATTATATTTGAAAAATAAATACAGAACAAAATTAAAAGTGGATCCTGATTTACGGTTAAAGCTAAGTGAAATAAGGCCAGACCTAAAGCAATTGGTGTCTCATAAACAGGGTTGAATTTCGCACTAAATTTTAGAATTAAAGTATTTTAAATTTAATTTTGATAATCAAGATGATAACCAATTTTTAATCTAGTATGTTTTATGTGTGCATATTTAATGCAAATAGTAGTAGGTTGTGCAAATGGCAAAAAATATATTTTTTAACATTTCTATTGAGAAACTGAAAAATAATTGTTGTAAAATATAGTGGTGGTACAGAAGGTACAACGCGTACCATCTAAACAAAACGCGTACCATCGGTTGTAACGTACCAGTAAATGTGTACCATCGGTTGAGAAGCGATGCACTAGAAGAAAACAGATTCATAATTTTAGAGTCAATGCGGCTTTTTTTAATGAATTTGTAAACAGATGTTATTAATTAATCAACATTAGATTGTTTATATAGATTTGCTTACTTTGGATAATCTTCATCTTCAAAACACAAGGAAGCGTTGTTCTTCTGAGCACACCGCGGTATTTTATCTTCTTCTTTGGCATTCCTTTGTCGCCCAGTTTGTGGATCTAAGAATCGAAGACTGTTTTCTGGCAAAGTTGCAAGTTGGTCAAACGGAATTCGGGCACCATCACTTGGATAAAAGCGCATGTTTGGAAACGTTCCTCCATCTTGGCTTCTATCTGGATATGTGGCAAATACTTGAGCTGGAGGTTCGACAGCCATTTGCGGATAATCGAACTGCAGTGGCCTATTTCGCACGAACTGCTCTGTGGGAAATTCATATGTTCCGTTGGCATCTGCATCGTTGGCTCCGTTTACGCGTGGAATAGCCTGATGAACGGCATTTAGAGCATCTCTGTACGGATCTCTGCTTCTGGAAAGACCAAACTGCCGTGGTCTGACTATGAAAGGTACAGACGAAACCTGAGTTACAGCGCGATTCTTTGCATCTTCTTCGGTTATATTACCTGAAGGAAGAATTTCTTCTGTCGCGTAGCCTGCTTCGTTAGTGGGGTACCTGATATAAACATTATTTTGCACTTGAGCTTCATTTTGTTTCGGAGCTTCGTTCTGATCTTTGGTTTGAAGACGAGCCCCGAATTTAAAAGTACCTTGATCGTCTATGTTCAAAGTTTGGTTAATTTGTTCTGAATCATTGATTTTTCTATCATCTTGACTGCTGTCTTGAGACTGCTGTTGTGGTCTTCCACTCTGCACGTTGATTTGTGGCAGTACTTCAACATCTGACATAGGGTACCTTAGATATCTTGACGAAAATGGTGCGGCATTCTCGGTGCTCTGGAAATTTGATAGTAAACTTATAGGTGGATTATTGTACATATTCCCTGCAGGGTTTTGGCTAGTTGCAAAAAAGGTTGGAGTTGCTTGTAATTGAGGATTGGACGTAGGATTTCTGAAATACGCTGCATAGTCAGGTCTGGATGCATCTTCGACTGTTTCAAAATTAGGATAACTTTGGAGATTGCTGTCTGGTAAAGGAAGAGATCTCTGAGGATTTATCATAACAGGTTGAGGAGCGGCGAACTGAGGATTATTTTGAAACAGAAATCCAGGATTTGGGAATACGTTTCTAGGAACTGCTTGAAATAAAGAAATACTATTTGGATCTCTAACTAACGATGGATATGCCCCTACATCATTGGCACTTGGAAATTGAGCCTGGAAATTAGCTGTTGTGAAATCTAAGAATGGATTGGGTGGAGCATTAAATACACTGTTCTGAGCAGTAGCAGGAATAATACCATTTGCGTTCAGGAAGCTTCTGGGAAGCGATCCAAACGCAGGACGAAGAATAGGTCCTTGCCCAAAACTAAACTGTTGTGGTTGGTATGAGTTTGTATAAGTAACTTGTGGTGCTACTTGTCTTTCTACTGGTCTTTCCTCAGTTGCCTTCTCACCCGAAGTTTCAATTTTTTCTGTGCTTTCTGATCTCGTACCCTGCTCACGATCGTTTGATCTTCCAGAGTTCTGGTAGGGCCTCTGGTATCCTCCTTGAGTCAGTTGCAGTAACGGTGTACTATCGGTTCTTGTTCTCATCCTTCGTTCTGCTCGTAAAGGATGTGGGTTGTGAATAGGATGATTTCTTTTTCTCTGTTCTCTCGAATTTAACTGCTCGGTAGGTCTAGCTTGCCTCTGTCCAAATTCTGGAGCAAAATCCCCCTGTCTTCTGACTTTGACGATATTAGAATTAGGAAGGGTCTTGCCATTTACTGCATCAGGAGAATAATCATCTCTGTCGATACTCTGACCGTCATCACCATTTCTCTCATCATTCTTTGCGATGGCATCGGTGAAATCTTCGTCAATTACTAACTTTTCTTCTATCAAGGCTTCGATCACTGGAAATAAACACAATAGAAACTTTATAATACTAAAATTTATGTTTACTTTGAGTATTTTTTAAAACATTTTATAAATTAAAATTTTACCACATGCATTATTTTTTTACACTTTGTATTTTTAGGGGATGCAATATTACAGATTATTTACAGTGCATGAACATAACTTCTTGCACTGTAAATAATCTGTAATAGTATGATAATGCTATGTCCTATGTGTTGAAGTATGTTGTAACAGTATGTTGCGCTATGTCCTATACGTTGTTAGTGCTATGTCCTATGTTTGCTGTAATCAGGTCCCCTGTGGAAATGGGCAGTGCTAAAACCAACAAGCTCTATAATAAACATTACTTCTTGCACTGTAAATAATCTGTAACCATATGTTAATGCTATGCCCTATGTGTCGAAGTATGTTGTAACAGTATGATGCTCTATGTCTTATTTGTTGTTAGTACTATGTCCTATGTATACCGTAATCAGGTCCCCTGTGGAAGGGGCGGTACGCTAGAGAGGTAGTGCATGGGGGCTATACCATTTTTGTCAATGGCGATGGCGTGATGCCCCCTGTACTTGTAGAGAGGTAGTGCATGGGGTCTATACCATTTTTGTCAATGGCGATGGCGTGGTGCCCCCTGTACTTGTCCCTGTACTTGTAGAGAGGTAGTGCATGGGGGCTATACCGTTTTTTGTCATGGCGATGGCGTGGGTGCCCCTGTACTTGTCCCTGTACTTGTAGAGAGGTAGTGCATGGGGGCTATACCGTTTTTGTCAATGGCGATGGCGTGGTGCCCCATGTACTTGTCCCTGTACTTGTAGAGAGGTAGTGCATGGGGGCTATACCATTTTTGTCAATGGCGATGGCGTGGTGCCCCCTGTACTTGTCCCTGTACTTGTAGAGAGGTAGTGCATGGGGGCTATACCGTTTTTGTCAATGGCGATGGCGTGGTGCCCCATGTACTTGTCCCTGTACTTGTAGAGAGGTAGTGCATGGGGGCTATACCATTTTTGTCAATGGCGATGGCGTGGTGCCCCCTGTACTTGTCCCTGTACTTGTAGAGAGGTAGTGCATGGGGGCTATACCATTTTTGTCAATGGCGATGGCGTGGTGCCCCCTGTACTTGTCCCTGAACTTGTAGAGAGGTAGTGCATGGGGGCTATACCATTTTTGTCAATGGCGATGGTGTGGTGCCCCCTGTACTTGTTTCTGTCCTGTCCTGCCTCCTAGTTTGCTCATTTTTGATGTCTCCTGCTTAAAAAAAAAAAAAAAAAAAGATTGAGAAAGAAGCGATTTTTAAGCGAAGGTTCCGTAGGTTGATTTTAGAGCCTGTTCTGTCTACTTGAAGCCACGTTGTTACTGTGACTGACTAAATAGCGATTTGATTTTGTGACGCTGAGTGCTTCTAGCCATTAGGCTTGTCCAGCCAGTTTTCGACAAACTACAGCCTTCCTGCGCGTTACTTTATCTTGTGAACTATTAGGCTAATCTAACTATATCTGATTTTAATGCAACATTAATTTAGGTTAATGCTGATGTAGAATCGTTTTCATTATTATACTGTTTATATTACTGGGAAAAAAAAGATAAAACTACTGCAGAAGTTCTTATTTAAATCTTCACCTTCGGGAGGTAAAATATCATTTTCCTCCTTCTTTATCTGTCTCTCTTTAGCTTCTAGGAAGTCAGATGCCTTATACTTATCTGCAGATTCAGAAAGTTTCGCTTTAACCGTGTCTGCTCTGTTCGATTCCTTTTCGGTACTCTCTCCGACATCCGATAAGGTGGACAAAGTCGTTGTCTGACTTTCGACGACAGCTAGCAACAAAGAAACCTGCAAAAAAAATTATGTATAACTATATATACTATATATTTTAATTTACTAAATCCTTTTTCCTTTTCTTAATTTCTTAATCGTTACGACACGACAATTAGCCAGAAATTAATTAATTTACATTGACTAGTATTTTTCAAAAATATTTTAACAGACGGATTCACTCAAATAAGAACTCCACAATATACGTCCCTCAAGCATTCCTAGTCACTCCCTCTCCCATAACTTACTTCACACAAGTTTCACCGACTGACATAATTCAAAGCCCCCGGTGCCAATAAAGAATTTCGAAAACAACCCTTCTGAGTAAGACGTGAAGAAAACACTTTGCCCACTTCCCACTAGAAAGAACATAAGTTAATTAATTCTTTTTCTGGCTTTTTATATCTTCCATATAGTTCATGTACATTCCCTTTTCTTATTATATATTTTAAAAAATTTTTCATTTTTAATTTTTGATTTGTTTTTGCAAAGATTGCACTATTTTTCTTATATTTTGCAATTTTCTAATGTTTATTTCAATTAATTTGAATTCTATTTCATAATGCCAATTTCCAAAGTTTAATTTGTACAAATAGTTTTGAAATAAAATGCATAAACACGAGGGTGTCGGGGGACAGTTACTCGAGCAATATCAATTTTACTGCAGAAATTGCTTTTCATTCAAAGTTAAATTAGCTAAAATGCTTAATCGGATTGAGTTCTTTGGTTCTCTGCTTTGATTCTTCATCCCTTCTATTCACGGAAATGTTTGGCCTAGCTTGAATTGCCGGTTTGGCATAGCCTTATTGCTCGAGTAAAGGACGAAACACCTTCGTATTTATTTCTTAATTATTGTTCATTGAACGGGAGTTGGCTTGTTCCCCTTGAAAAGTCAACTAATTTCCGATTAATGGCAATGATTACTTGCATTTAATTTAATTACTTGCTTTTAATTTATTTCTTTTTCCAATTGAAATTTTGCTATTCATGATTTAATTCAAGTCCCCGTTAAACATTTTTAACAATTTACATTCAAGTTACTTTAAAACATTTTTCGAAATTGAACTTACTATATATTTTAATATATAATGAATAGCAACGGAAAGAATTGATGTGTTTTGTTTTCAAACATATGTAAGAGTGTTAATTCTCTCTTTGTGTCATGAATAACTTTATGTCACCGACAATTTTTTTTTAAATCAATGAACCGTATAGACATTGGGTAGGTGTTTACAATATGCATGTGTTCTAAACGATTTATTTACTTTCATGAAATATTAAAAAAAAAAAAGGGGTATCGAAATAAGAAAAATTTTTAAGTTTTACGACGAAATAAAAATAGCATTGCCAAACATTAAATACATTATTCCGGATTCCAAAAATTCGTGGTAAGCCATTTCGACTATTCCCATCTTCGTACGACTTTAATCAGCCGAAATATTAATTAAGAACTCTGAAAACGCTAATTTTCGCACACATTGTTTTGAGCGGCAACAGTCTCGCATGCTAAAAGATAAAAATCTGCTTTGTTTCGAAAAATATTCCACTGCTCGCTTTCAAATCGTAGAGTCTGTTAATCAAAAATTTGTAAGTTTTACAAAATCTATACATATAAAGAAGAATGTCTGTTTGTGCTTGTGTTTGTTTGTTTGCGTTATTGATTTCTGATCAATTATTATCCATTTTTTGACACATTTAATCGACTAAAATTGAATATAGCGAAATATTACATGGAACTTGAGCTTTTACGATTAGAAAGACGAAAATCATTAAAAACTGTGTGCCATTTTTGCTGATACAATGAGAGAGAATTAGCTTATTTTTATATGGGAATTTTTCTGTGGGTTCCAAATCGCATCAGACTGAAAAATGCATGACTCTGAATGGTATTTTTTGCATCGTTACTAGAGAAGGATTACAGCGGTATCATTCTCTCTGTTGTTAGATGCATTACTCTTAATCTAACTTAACTGGCATCGGGTACTTCCGCTAGTTGACTAATATTTGCCATATTCTTCTTTCGAATTGGCTAAAATATGATAAAACTGGTACAGCAGAGACATGCCATCATTGCCGAACGGTACGCAGCTGTCAGTTTACACGGAGAAGATTCGGAAAAAGAATCACGAAATCGAATCATAGCTATTCGGAAATGGAGTTTTCTACCTTTCAGACATCAAAGAAATGACTCATCTTGCTTAAGCTCAGATATGGCCTTTTAGTTCATTTTTGTATTTGAACTAAGGTCATGTCTTACACCTAACGCACTATTTGCTATTCTCATAAAAAATGTGCTTTCTGAAAGCTGAAATTACTACTTTCAGGAATGGTTTGAGAGTGGACGCCAAACCATATCATTTGTAATAGACATGCGTTTAAAAAATATTACTGTACATACTTCGGATACTTGTTTCCTTTTTTGTCCGTTTTAACTCTTTGAAGACCAAAACGCCCCAGACGGCCTTTCATTCAAACGACTACAACCACCACAAACGGCCGAAATTTCGATGTTATTTTCTTTCCCAAATGCATTGCATCAGTTTATAAGATATTTATCCCGCTTTCTTAGCGTGCCTTCCGTGGTGTAGTGGTCTGCATGCTGGGCGCGTATTTCAGAGGTCCGTGGTTCGATTCCCGGCGAAGGCGTTGCTCATTTTTCAAGTCTCCTGTTTCCAAAAATACCTAATGACTCTACAAGTTTATTGCAGGCAGCTTGTCGTAAAAGAATTTATTTGTGGTTTCTTATCTTTATTTGTTAGAAGTTGATGTTATTTGAAAACTTCCCTCTTCTTTGTGCATTAATGGATAGGGAGGGGAGAAAACTATTTCCGGCGGCTCGGTATTTTAACATACATATTGACGAAGGCTTCAGTTTTCAAAGAGTTAAAGCCGCTAGCGTTACACAACATTCGAAAAAATAGTAAACGAGAAGCTGGCAGAAATTGTTTATTAAAACCACTAAAGGGGAATTATTGAATCAGCAAGAATCAGCGTAATATTCAGAAATTTGCAGGATTAGTTTGGAAGATTTAAATATAGAACCTTCTTCAGCTGCAAATGACGAAAGAGAAACCAGTGATAAGATAAGGCGATAAGAATGAGAGCAAGTCAAACTACTGAAGCCTGGACTGGAACTGCTGCCTTCAACCTTCTGCAATTCAAGAAGAAGGTTCTTTTGCAGAGACATCAGGTATTTTTGGAAGCAGGACGTGTGAAAAATGAGCAATGCCCTCGCTGGGACTCGAAACTTGAACCTCTCGAATACGCGCTGAGTGTGCTGGCCATTACACCACGAAGTCATGATAAGAAGGCGAGAGAAATATCTTATATATTCCCTCTTTTAAAGGGCGGCTGGGGATTAGGGGACACAATCGCCAAATCCTGGTTGTGAAGAATCATCATTTACCACTTTCTTTAGTTCGCGCGCCACTGTGGAAACATTAGATTATTTCGAAGCAGGAGTCATGAAAAATGTGCAGTGCCCTCGCTGGGTCTCGAACCTTAAACCTCTCGAATACGCGCCGAGTGCGCTGGTCATTACATCACGAATACATACTAAGAAGGCAGGAGAAATACCTTATATTGTATTTAAACTTGAAATATTGAAGCTAGTACTGTAAATGTCTGGATATTATGCTGATTCTTGTTGCCTCAACTCCTGCAATAATCGTTATCTGGCATGTTGTTTTAACTTCGACACTAATGAAATTAGCTGATCCACCAACTGCCCAGATTCGGTTGTTTGTTGCATACTAAGTTGGTAGAAAACTGAAAGGTCTGAAGGAAGAATAGTTTGCAAGATAGACGTAATAGAGGTAAAGATTTTATTCAGAAATTCGTTGCGGAGGCAGATACGATAATTGAATAGTTTACAAGGTAGACTTAACTCCATAGAGGTAAAGATCTTATTCAGAAATTCGTTGCGGAGGCAGAGCCCATAATTTATCAGTTTTCACCAAAATGCAAAACGTGCAGTTTAAGTTATCTTTAGTTATGACTTTTTTATTTAGTTGACTTGGAATTTGTAGCTGTAACCTACCAATGAGTACACATTACATGAAAAGGTTCAGCTCATTTTAAGCGTGAGTTGTTATTTATCTTTTTAATATCAGTGCTGTGTAATAAAAGAAGAAACTCGTCAGAAAACCGTAAGTTTAGCCATTATATAAAATAAATTTTTGAAATCAGAGTTCGACTTGGTCGCAATGGTAAAAATGCTTCCGTTTTCGGTTCCTTTTATTTGTTAGATAAAATCAAGTACCACGTAATTTAAAAAAAAGTGTGTGGATAGATTGACAAAAAAACACTTTGCTAAACTTACTACTAGCATTTATTCAGACTGGACACGCTTTGCGTAACAGACACTTTGCTAAACTTACTACTAGCATTTATTGAGACTGAACACGCTTTGCGCAACAGACACTTTGCTAAACTTACTACTAGCATTTATTGAGACTGGTCACGTTTTGCGCAACAGACACTTTACTATACTTACTACTAGCATTCATTGAGACTAGATACGCTTTGAACAACAGACACTTTGCTAAACTTACTACTAGCATTCATTGAGACTGGACACGCTTTGCGCAAGAGACACTTTGCTAAACTTACTACTAGCATTTATTGAGACTAGACACGCTTTGCTAAACTTACTACTAGCATTTATTGAGACTAGACACGCTTTGCTAAACTTACTACTAGCATTTATTGAGACTAGACACGCTTTGCTAAACTTACTACTAGCATTTATTGAGACTAGACACGCTTTGCTAAACTTACTACTAGCATTCATTAAGATTGGACACGTTTTGCGAAACAGACACTTTACTAAACTTACTACTAGCATTTATTGAGACTAGACATGCTTTGCGCAAGAGACACTTTGCTAAACTTACTACTAGCATTTATTGAGACTAGACACGCTTTGCTAAACTTACTACTAGCATTCATTAAGACTGGACATGCTTTGAGCAACAGACACTTTGCTAAACTTACTACTAGCATTTATTGAGACTAGA